TCCCATGAGGCTGTGGATGCAGCCCCTTACAACACTGATTGCACAACTGTGTGGCCAAATTCAGCTCTAACTCTATTTACAAATTTGCTGATGACATCGCTGTAGTGTTTGGCTATCAGACAGCAACAAGTTCGAGTAGAGAAAGTAGATAGAAGGCTTAGTGACATTGTGTAAAGACAACAATTTCTCCCACAATATCAGGAAAACGAAGAAGCTAGTCATGGACTTCAGGAAACAGAGCGGAGGACACAATGCTGGCTCTATCAATGGTGTTGATGTGGAGGTGGTTGAGAGCTTCAAGTTCCTAGGAATAAATATCACCAACAATCTATCCTGGTCCATCCATGTCGACATTCCAGTCAAGGAAGCACACCAACACCTCTACATCCTCAGAAGGTTAAAGAAGTTCAGCATGTCGACAATGACTCTTACCTTTTTTTATAGATGCACCATTGAAAGCATCCTACCAGGGCATAACACAGCTTGGTATGGCAACTGCTCTGCCCAAGATCACAAGAAATTACAGAGAGTTGTGAACACAGCCCAGTCAATCACGCAAACCAGCCTTCCTTCCATTGACTCCGTGTATACTTCCTGCTGCCTCGAAAAGCAGCCAATATAATCAAAGACACTTCCCACCCCGGTTATACTTTCTTTCACCCTCTACTATCGGGTAGAAGATACAAAAGTATCAGGTACCAACAGATTTAAGAACAGCTTCTTCTCCGCTGTTATCAGACTAATGAATGGATCTCTCATATATTAGAGTTGACCTTTCTCTGCACCTTCTCTGTTGCTGTAGCACTATATTCTGCATTCTGCTCTATTACTCTGATGTACTCATGTAAGGTATGATTTGCCTGGTTAGCACGCAATGCAATACTTTTCACTGTATCTCGGTTCATGTGACAATAATAAATCAAATCAAATCAAATCAAATCAAATGAAGAGTGCAATAGGGGATGTCAAGCACTAGGTACACCAAAAAATAAGACAACCTAATGTAGCTACAGCAGGACTATTTTCGTGACAAGTAGTGGAAGCAGCAAGCAACAAGCAGAGCTAAGCAATCCTCCAACCAACAGATCAGACTTGAGCTCTGCAGTCTTTCCATATCAAGTCTGAATGATGGTGAGTGATAAACAACTCAAACAGAAGGCTCCCAAAAATGTCCCAGTCCTTGATGATGGGGAGTCAAGTACATCTCCACAAAAGATTTACTGTTGAAACAGATTCCATTCCATTTATTACTCTAGCATTGGCTGCTGCTTGCTTAGCACCTTGGATACTCTGCTTGCTAAGTGTCAACTCAACTGAAGAGTAACATAATTTCCCCTGAGTCTCAAAGATTCTAGAATGAAGCCTCACATTACGACTTATGTCTATACCCACAATGGTAATGTCTTAATAAAAGAGGTGCTTGATTTCACATGCTGTGTTTAGGCTAAGACATTAAATTTGATGTATTTTTTTCTTACCCTGGTGAATTTAAATTATTTCTGAGATACTCTTTGACAGTAGTGAATTATCCTGGTATTCTGATATTGCCTTTCCAACCAGCACCTTCCTTACAATTTGTACGATCATACTGTGCACTTTAATGACAAAACAACAGTGATTCATTCCAAAATAATTCAGTGGCTGTGAAGTGCTTTGAGATTTCCTGAGAACATGGTGAGACCTAATAAATGCCAATGACACCTTCCTTGTCAGTATTCCCATTGTCTACTGTGTTCCGTTTCTTTTGTCAGCAGGGGATTTGCACTTACCTGCCCTCTGCAATCTCCAATCTCCAATCCTCATTGACAATACGGTTTTCTTGTAATAATAAATAGGGGCCAAAACTTTAATTTTATGCCAACAGTTTAGCTCTGGAAACAGGAACAAAAGGACATCAATCAAAATCTCCGCACACTTGGTTTATTGTAAACATTGGAGACCCAAGAGACCTGTCACCTCTTTATGAACTTATATTACTTGACCTAACCTTGAAAACTAGAATCATTCTTAAAACAGGAATGCACAGGTCAGATAAAACATGTTCAAAGCAGGCTGATTGAACAAATATCTTTTTTAAAGCTGGTGCAGACTTGTACCTAGAAAAGACACATGGAGGGCAAAGAAGATTCAGTAATGTTACAAACATCAGCAAAGTGCCAGGGGGACACTTAAATAATAATAATACTTAAATATAATCCTCAGTGAGATATAAATTCTATTTATGTGAACCTGAGGAATTACTGTTACCCCAGAGGATTCCATAATTTGTTTAAAATAAAACTGCAGTCTTTTTTTAAATGTGAGGAACACAAATGTATTAAATTACATCATACAGACTAGTAATTGTGTACGTTAGGTAGCACAGTGATGGAAAAGTATTGTGTTCCAAACTGAATGTTTTCTTCATGGTTTCCTGGTGGCACGTAGGAAATGTGATTGTGTAGTCGAGCAATTTAAATGCCAAACGGACCATTGGAGAGACGATGAGACTTCTTTCTTAAGTAGAAAATAGATATGATCTAGAATATAGAACTGCACCTTTCTGAAGAAGGGTCTAGGCCCAAAACGTCAGCCTTCCTGCTCCTCTGATGCTACTTGGCCTGCTGTGTTCATCCAGCTCTACACCTTGTTATCTCATGATCTAGAATATGCTGTTTGAAAGGGAAATGAATGCATTTTCAATGATAACTTTCAAAAAAAAATTGAATGCATAATTGAAAAGGAAAGATTTGAATAACAGAGGAATATGTCTCATTGGATAACTCTTCCAAAGAGGTGAAAGAATCAATGTAGCATCATGAGTTCAGTGGAATTATTCCAGCCATCAAGTAAAAGGCAATAGGGAGATTAAAAATATCTCATTCTAAGAATCAAGAAAACAAAGTCTGATTTTCTCCTTAAAGTTTGAACAAGAGTCTTGAATCTTGTTAATAAGTGGAAGCCACCCTATTTCCATGCACTTGCATCAAATTATTAGCCAATCTGACCTCATTTATTTGCTGTTTGTAATTGTCCCATTCAATTATATGGTGCTAATTCCCAACTTAAAAGATAGAGTTATTACCTAATGGGCATAGGTCAGGGCATCCATTTTAAAGCCTATTCATTGCATGCCCCTCGGGCAGCAACCACCTCTACCCTTTGTTGACATGACTCAGCAATGGCAAAACACCAGCTTCACAACACCATCACGGTTAATCTTGGACTGACTAATCAACAGACAAATTCAACTCTTCATCGCTACACGGAGTACACAGACAGCATACATAGGGTCATAGAGTCGGAGTCACACAGCACAGTAACAAGTCCTTTGATCCATGCCAACCAAGTTTCCTAAAATGAACTAGTCCTATTGTCCTGCATTTGGCACGTATCCCTCCAAAGATTTCTTATACATGTAACTGTCCAAATGTCTTTTAAATGTTCTAATGATAACTGCGTCTACCACTTCCTCTGGTAGCTCGGTTCATATATGCACCACCCTCTGTGTGAAAAAGTTGCCCCTTAGGCCCCTTATAAATCTGTCCTCTCTCACCTTAAAACCTATGCCCTCTAGTTTGGACTCCCCTACCCTGGCGAAAAGGTCTTGGCTACTCACCTTATCTATTCCCTTCATGATTCTGTAAGCCTCTATAAGGTCACCCCTCAGCTTCCTATACTCCAGGGAGGAAAGTCCCATTGAAAATGCTCCTGTCAGTTTGCTGTGCATGTGGGGACACACACGCTTCTTATGCATCAGTACAATATGCATTTAATGGCTCTTTGCTTGCTTTCACAGCACACTCAATTTGTGCTAATTTGAAAGTTCACAGTATCTCGGGCTTGACTTGCATTATATCAGACTGTAAAGCAGGAAGCTTGTCATGTTGCTAGTACTAAACATCCAAGGGAGTGGAGATGTTGCTTAGTGAAGAAAAAGGGGACTACAGTCATTCAGGACTTATCCAAGCCTCAGTCGAGGGCATTGTCTGATCTCAGTCCAGGAGGTTGGCCATGGTCAGTCTTGCAGGCCAAGTCCACCAATCCAGGGAGTACAAATAAGTCATTTGGGGAGTTTCAGAGGCATCTATCAGAGTGCTGCGCTGTTACTAGGTTGATCCCAGGTACAGAGGGATTTTCTTATGAGGAGAAGTTTAGTAGAAACATAAAAAATAAGAGCAGAAGTAGGACATTCAGCCCTTTGAACTTAGTACACCATTCAACATGATCATGACTAATCATTCAACTCAGTACTCTGTTCCCTCTTTCTCCCCACACCCTTTGATCCCTTTAGCTCTCGGTTGAGTTTGTAGTCAATGAAGTTTAGGAGAATAGAAGGAGACCTTATTGAAACATGAATCTTTCTTCGGGGTTCTGACAGGGTAAATGTGGAAAGGTTGTTTTCCCTTGTGGGGGATCTCGGACTAGAGGGTATAATCTCAGAGTATGGAGTAGTCCATACAAGAAAGAGATGAGGAGGAATTTCTTTTCTCAGAAGGTTATGAATTTGGAATTCCTTACCAATGAATTGAATGGCCTACTTCTGCTCTGTTGTTTATTTTTGTCTATAGTTAGTCAGTGCTGTCCTCACAAGTCAATGCAGGAGGATTACCATGATCAATCCTGGGGCTTTGGCAGTGAACATTAAGGTGAGTATTCAGGCATCAGTCCATGCAGAGTGGTCTCAAGTGCGAAACTCAAGATTGGCAACAGGTAGAATTATGCTGCAGTGTTAAGTGATGGTGGGACTTGGGGACAACTGTAATTAAAAGGGTGGGATCTGACATCGCATCGGAGGGCACAGAGTAATGCAGGATGGAAATATTTTACAAGTCACCACCCACCCTAGCTTAAATACTTGGACATTGCATGGTGATAGATGATATACCAATGCAGTAAACCAGGCGGATATTAACCAACTACATAAAAGGGTTGGATGGAAACTTGGGGAGTCCAAAAGCCGATGGGGTTGAAAAGAACAGTAATGCAAAATGGCATTTTTTTGCTTTATTCATTCACAGGATGAGGCCTCACTGGCTCGGCAGCATTTATTGCCCATCCCTAATTGCCCAGAGGGCAGTTTAAGAGTCAACCACATTACTGTGGGTCTGGAGTCACAAGTAGGCCAGATCAGGTAAGGATGGCTGTTTCCTTCCCTAAAGGACATTACTGAACCAGATGGATTTTTCGGACAATTGGCAATGGATTCATGGTCATCATTGGACGCTTAATTGCAGATTTTTATTGAATTCAAATTCAATCCCGTGGTGGGATTCAAACCCAGGTCCCCAGGACATTACCTGGGTCTCTGGATTAACAGTTCAACAATAATACCTCTAGGCCATTGCCTCCCCTATGAGTTATGTGAACAGGGGGATGGTGAGTTTTGACTATCAGGCGGATCCTGGACCTGACTCACAAGAGCATGAACAGGATAATGAGCTATCTCCCACTGAACCACAACTATGCAATAAGAATGAAATTTAACAGCCAATCAGCCAGGTGACGAGGGAAAGTATATCTATATATTTACAGATGTGGAAGTATTTTTATAATGATCTGTCAACCGTGCCATCTATGTAACCTCAGAACATGTCTTTTCCCGTGCTGTCACACTAGTCAATGTGAAGTCCCAGGGTCTGCAGCTGGGCTGCAGCAAGCTTGCCCTGTAATGGACCATGCTGTCCTAGAAATTGTGGGCAAACGATTCCAAGGGTAATTTATGTCTCAAAGACCCAGACATACTAGAGAATCCTGCCCAGATTCAGGTTAATTCTCCTCAGCTACAATTCGCCCCCATCATCCTTCACCTTCAACCATATCCTTTTCCTCATTCCCCACATCCAACCTTCCTGTTACGATTGAGAATGGCCGAACCCCTCTGATAATTAAGCCCCAATCTGTTATGACAGGGGTGGGAGTTCCTCTCTAATAATTACCCCCTAAATACACAGATAAGCTCATCTTTCCCCTCGTAATCTATTAAAAGAAAGATAATCCCTGATCTCCACTTTATAAGTAGCAAGAAACAATTATTTATTTAACCCAACAATGAACAAATTAACAAAATTACTAACAAACCAACAATTCCCCCTTAGGCTACTAAGCACTCCCTAACTGTCTACATTCTACTGAAATGCTGTTTCAATAAAGACAAGTCCCACTAATATAAACCCAATTAATAAAAAGCAATGAAGACTGTCATCTGAAATATTCTGTCATCTCCATTCTCTTCACGAACACCTTTCTTCTGTAAATTCTGCTATCAGGATTGTTCTATTTCTATAATGTCTTCCGTGAGGACTTTGAGCTAAAATACCGTGGGACCTTCGATTAATAAGATGAACTTTCTCTGAGAGCTGAACAGTGCCAACTCTGGCAGGTGGCAGAAAGCTCTCTCTTCCAGATGGCAGTTTGATCTCCCCAATTTTCCAAATACCCTTGTCTTGCATACCCGTAATGACATAATCAAATTCTTACAATATGATTGGTTTTAGGTTGTCAACACCATCAGATTTAAATTCAATTGGCTTTCTGTATCTAGGTGCTTCATTTAAATTAATTGGCCAAATTCAAACTTGTTCTCACAACACCAAATCAAGACTGTTTTGCCTGCCAACTGTAAGACATTTTTGATGCACCTGCTTTTTAAGGCTGTCTGTACTGGCAACTTTAGCTGCTGTTCACAGACATACGTTTCTTTAAATTTCTATGTACAGACAAATCTCTTAAAGGAACCACACATTTAGCTTCCTGCCTTCCACTTCATAGTTATTCTACCCAACATCATAACATTCCACCATATCCTTTTATCCCCAGTCACCTGCCACATCTGCGCCTCCTTCAGCTACCACTACCAGCCCACACCCACATAGAATCTTACAGTACAGAAGTGGCCCTTCGGCCCATCAATTCTGTCACCAAAAATAGACTACTACCTGCACTATGTTACCTTCACATCCGGCAATTTATCTCTTCATCCACTTGACATCTTACCCCTTTCCCATATGTCCCGCACAGTTACTTTTAGTAGCCATGAAAATAGCCTCAGGACCTTTAAACTACAGAATCCAGCAGGTATTGTCATGAAAGAGAAAGGTTCTGTTTCAATGCAGATCCACTTCAATGCTGGATGTCTGGATTCCTGGACTACACTAGACTGCTCCAGCTGGGAAGGCTCCAGGGTCAGAAGTTCAAATGGAGAACTCCTCTAAAGGTGTGTATATTTTGGTCACCATTCCTTCTCAGAAGATCTGGGCCATTAAACAGTGAAATTTAATATGAGCCAGATAGTGAGATATTACAGCAGATGATGAGAAGCTTGGACAAATAGATACAATTTTAAAAGCATCTTGAAGAATCAAAGAGAGTTGAAAGACAGGGAGCTTGACAGAAGGAAATGCAGAGTGAAAGGCCTAAGCAGCTGAAGACACTAATTTGATTGCTGAGTGATTTTGTTAAAAAGCATACAAAAGAAATGCATACAAACTCTTTTAAAATTGTACTCTGTTCTGCTTATTCATCTCATATAACCTAAATGAACCACCATACTTTTAATATAATTTTCTCAAACTATGTTCGTAGAAATAGCAGTTATTTCCACAGGGCTGGAGGCCTGTGACTATTAGTGTGCCATAGGGATCGGTGCTGGGACCTTTGTTATTTATTATTTACATAAATGATCCAGATGTGAATGTACAAGGCATGAGTAGTAAGTTTGCGAATGATACAAAATTAGGAGGAATTGTTGATAGCGAAGAAGGTTATCAAAAATTACTGAGGGATCTTGATCAGATGGGGAAGTGGGCTGAGGACTAGCAAATGCAATTCAATGAAGATAAGTGTGAGGTGTTGCACTTTGGAAAGTCAAATCAAGGTAGGATTAAACAGTAAATGGTAAGGTCCTGAGGAGTGTAATGGATCAGAGGGACCTAGGAGTACAAGTACATAGTTCACTGAAAGCAGCATCTCAGATGGACAGGGTGGTGAGGAAGACATTTGGCATGCTGGCCTTCATCAGTCGAGGCAATGAGTATAGAAGTTGGGACATAATGTTACAGTTGTATAAGTCATTGGTGAGGCCACACTTGAAGTATTGTGTACAGTTTTAGTCACCCTGTTATAGGAAAGACATAGTTACACTGGAGAATGTGCAAAGAAGATTAACGAGGATGATGCCAGGACTAGTAGGCCTGAGTTATAGGGAGAGGTTGGCCAGGGTAGGACTTTATTCCTTAGAACATAGGAGAATAAAGGGTGACCTTATTGAGGTGTATAAAATTATGAGAGGCATAGATAGGATGAATGCATATAGTCTTTTCCCAGGGATGGGGCATTGAAAACTAGAGGGCATAGGTTTAAGGTGAGAGGGGAAAGATTTAAGAAGGACCTGAGGGGCAACTTCTTCACACAGAAAGTGGTGCGTATATGGAATGGGCTGCCAGAGAAAGTAGTTGAGGCAGGTAAAATAGCAACATTTAAGAAAACATTTGGATAGGTGCATGGATCAGAAGGGTTCAGAGGGATATGGACCTAATGTGGGCAATTGGAACCAGCTGAGTGGGCAGCACGATCAGCATGGACCAGTTTGGGCCGAACAGTCTGTTTCCATGCTGTATTACTCTACGACTCTATTGCATCGTAACTTCAATGTGTCCAGAGTCTTACTGATTTACAGATTACTTAGGGATGTTATCTCTTTAATTCACGATAGGATGTAGTAATGAAATAGTTTAAGTGACCGGTTCTGAATTCTGTCTAACTACAAGCTTAGGTGCTTTGATTGTGAAAGATGAAAAAGTGTTCCAGGTTGTCTTTCTGAAAAGAAAGTGCAGAATTTGCACACATGTAAGCAATGACCAGATTGGCCCCACTGATTGTGGGAAGTCACAGGAAAGTGGTAGGAATGTCAGTTCCAGTAAATTTACATTTAATTACAAGATAGAATGAAGATGTGAGTGCAGACGATTAGCATTTCTACATAAATACAATATCCATGTGATTCATATTGTCACTGAGTTGCAGTGAAGTATGGAAAGATTTCACAGGAAATTGCAAGAATGGATGCTAATGTTCCCAAATGTCACTGAATCTCACAGTTTCAGTCTGCAAGAATCAAATAGAGAGAGAGGCAGTAAGTCTCTATGGTTCAGCATGCAAATTGCAAGTAGAAACTGATGCTCAGATTAAAGGAGCTAACTTCACAAAGGTTAAAAAGATGCTGGAAGATTTGCTTAGCTTGCATCAAAAGGAAGAAACTCCAACTCATCTCTCACCAGTTCAGGGATTAGAAGTTATCTGGCTAGAAAAGGAGAAGAGAAAAAGCAAGCCCCTGGGAGCTAAAATTCACTGCACTGATTCTATGACAATAGAATATCTAGGGGCACAGGGTAAGGTATAACTGTGGTGGGAGATTTTCAGTAATTTAAACTGTTTAATGTTTCCCACTGAAATACTATACAGTCAACTTTGCTTTTAGTTTGCTTGTTGAAGTAAAATTCTTAAAACTTCACCTCTTGCTGTGGGATTCTTTCAGTCATTTGATGGAATATCAAATTGTTGGATTGGCATCAGACACAGGCAGGCAATGGCTTGCAAGGCTGGTCAGATCACATGTGGAAGCCCCAGCACTGATCTACTGCAATGTAATGTTTATCTGACTCTAATGTTTATCCTTTCAACTCTGTCTTATTTCTAACTCATACTATGAATCACTGTAAGGTGATGCAACTTTATTTTCTTCTTTATTCCTCTTTTGTATCTAAGATCTGTACCTAGGTACTTTGTACCTAAGATGGCACCATGAGAGGCGACATTGTAAACTTTTCACGGTACTTCTGTACTTGAGTACATGTGACAGTAAAAACATAACTCTAATTCTAATTTTAAATGTTATTGGTCCTGTGGGGATTGTAACTCTAGTTATTGTTGCTCAGAACATACTTTCACAAAATTGAGTAACCTTTATCTGGTTGCAATAGCCTGAATATTCATGGAGAGGCAGGGAGTGAACAAGACATCATGTTTGCAGAGGTCTTGCCTAAGTAAATAATAAGACCTCATTATCATATTATTACTGCTTTCCCATTGGTTAGATAGGCTGATTAATAGGCTGGCTGTGTGCTGGGTGGGAAAGCTAGCAGTCAAAGGTCAGTGTCCTAGCAACTGGTAAAAAGTCAGACCAGTAATTGGGTGGATGGAGGAAGCAGAAAATGTTGCAGCTTTTGAAAGGGGAAGTAACTGGTTTGGCCAATTATATTAATTAATTTCTCAGCAACTATCAGATAATCAATGGCTTGCATCTCCAGAGTAACTTGAACACCCCTCAAACCATGGTTAAAAAGGAATTAGGTACAGGAGGTTTGCATGTTTTGCTGATTTAATCCTGAATGACTGCACCTTTCTTGATGACAGTGGCTTTTGGAGATTGATCTTCAAACTCGCAATAATTCCACTTTTACTTTTTCTCTGTTAAAACTTTCCTTCAAAAGACTTACCATTGTTTCCTTTCCATCTTAAAGCACCACTACCTGACAAATTCCTTCATTTCAAGCATTCACAATTTTTAAACAGAAGGGTATAATGCTTCATTGAGCAAAAATAAGGCAAATTTTCAATGCAGTTGGAAATGCATTAATTAATTCTATTTGCAGAGATTGTGTTTAAAGCCATGTGTCCTCAAAATCTTAGTAGAATCATAATTATGGGAAAATATTGATAATATTCTCCTTTTATTAAAATGGGAATTTGCATCTACCAGGCCTCCACTTCCACGAAATTAAATGGTTAAATTACATATTACTTACCATGTGATCAATTATTTAGGTTCCCTTTGAGGGATGTACTGAGTGGCAGCTTGAAGTTACTTCAGGAAATGGAATTAGTCATGAACTTAACAAACACATTCCATTATTTATATTATGTATTTAATAATATCTTCAAATGGATTACCTGATAACAATATCTTCATCAGTTATAGTTTGAATTTGTGTACAATTGTTATGTAGAAGCTTTTCATAAATTCGTTTCAGATTACCAGTTTAGCACGGAATTTGCCAGGAGTTGACATTAAGTTACAGGATGACATTCTGCACACTGCATGTAACCTATGTACACATAAAGGCAAGCATTGATGCACAAATAGAGATGGTCAATTATGTCTAATATTATTGGAAAAAACACTGTTGATTAACTTATTGCTGCTTCTCAGCTTCCTGAAAGGAATTTGTCACTTGTCACTGGTATTTTAAATTTCTAGATACAATTAGTTTTAGGCAGAGTGAGCAGTCAGTATAATAATCCTGTGGAACCTGAACAGAATCTATCATTTAAAGATCTCTCAGAGATAGTAAGAAGTGCAGATGCTGGAGTCAGAGATAACACAGTGTGGAGCTGGAGGAACACAGCAGGCCAGGCAGCATCAGTGGAGCAGGAAAGCTGACGTTTCAGGTTGGGACCCTTCTTCAGAAATGGGGGAGAGGGAAGGGAGCTCAGAAATAAATAGAGAGAGGAGGGGTGGGACTGGGGAAGGTAGGTGGGATGGTGATAGGTGAGTGCAGGTAGGCAGTGGTGGGGATTGGTCAATGAGGTCGGAGGAGCGGATGGGTGGGAGAGAAGATGGACAGGTTGTGTCAGGTTAAGGAGGTGGGGATGAGAGGGAGGGTTGGACATGGGATGAGACTGGGGGTGGGAAGAGTTTGAAACTGGTAAAATCCACGTTTAGGCCATTGGGTTGTAGGCTCTCAAGGCAGAATATGAGGTGCTGCTCCTCCAATTTGTGCATGTCGTCATTGTGACACTGGAGGAGGCCCAGGATGGACACATCACCCAGGGAGTGGGAGGGGGAGTTGAAATGGTTTGCGAACGCAAGGTGTTGTTGTTTGTCACAAACAGAGTGCAGGTGCTCTACAAAGCTGTCTCCGAGCCTCCGCTTGGTCTCACTGATGTAGAGGAGGCCACATTGGGAACAGCGGATGCAGTAGACCATATTGACGAATGTGCAGGTGAACCCCTATCTGATGTGGAAGGATTGTTTACACTGCTCAAGCAAACCACTTGCCTGCAGGCATCAACATTAAGTTCCATTCAGGAAAGTTCTTCCAATCTCTCCAGATTTTGTATCTCTACCAAAACCACTGAGGCAGAACTTCTGTATATGATGACTGTCGCATAGGTTTCCACAATAAGGTGATCATTCAGACTATGGCAAACAAATTC